CTATTCCTATAAAGGAGAAAACAACATTCTTCGGGGTGAACTGAAGGAGCAGCCTGTGAAATACTTCAATAGATGGGGCCATTCTACATCAAGTCACAAAACTTTTCACAAGCTTTGGTACCTATGAAGCATGACAAAACAAGAATCAGGATTTCAACAGGACTCCTAAACTCCATGAAAACCTAGATACAGTAAATCTTAAAGTTATAGAATATAATAAAAGGTGAGTAGGAGGAAAATACATGTGTAAGAGGGTTGTAATTGTCATGGAAGTTATGATTTAAAAGTAAAACTCCAAGACTGTCAGGAAGTGTCAGCACTCTTATAATCAGGAAGGCCAACGTAAAAAGGTTTGCTACTTTGGCTGTTCTTTGTAGACAAAGATATCTTTCATAATCCCCTGACAAAATAAATTACCGTATCACTTTATCCATAACTTCCCTTTGCTCACTGTTGAGCCTAGCGCACACAACACTCTGGTGGATGAGGAAATACAGTCCATTGTATTTGGAAGGTGATCTTCTTCAACCTGCTTACCAGACCTTTAAGCTTTCCATCCATAGCAGGAGCTCCGTCTATCATGATTAGGTTAACCTTCTCAAATCCCAATGAATGCATCCTAAAAAACTCCTCCACTTTTGTAAATATCAGTCGTTTGCCCTCTAATGGAATAAGAGAGCAGTTCTTCCCTGAACTCCTTTCCATGAAAATATCTAACATAGATGCACATCTGGGCTACGTCTGTGTTGGCAGCGGTTTCATCAATGGCTAGGGAGAAGTAATTGGTCTGATTGAGAACACTGAGCATAACGTCCTGCACAGCATTTTGCAGTGCATCTATGCTGTTTCACTGACGCTTTTAGGGACGCATTTCTCACTTTCTGTTTTTCTGCGAGGCCCCGCACTGTCAGATAAAAAAAATAAAAAAGCAAAGTATGTGAGGATGCCATAGAAGAGGTCTGAGAGTAAAAGTAGATAAAAGTAATTAGATGTCAAATAATTATTTGTCATGGGGTGCGCTGAGTGCAGACTGAGGCGAGGACCCAAATGCAGACAATGTCAAGGCAAGAGGAGGACGCAGTTCAAACAAAAGATTTATTCAGCAAAACTTAACTGCACAAGCTTCCATAGAGCTCGAGGCAAAGTCCAAACAAAGGTAATCCAGAAAACACAAGGCGATCCAAAAACACAGGGAATAATCCAAAACAGGGAAAACAAAGGAACAGGCAGGAACACTCAACACTAGACGCAAGGACGTGACCAAGACTCAAGACAACTGAGGACCATATATACACACACTGGTAAACGAGCAGGGAGGGAAGCACAGCTGAGATACATCAGGTAATCAAAAAAAGCTAGACAAGGACACCAGGTACAGAGGGTTACCAAAATAAAACAGGAAGTAAAGTCCACAGGAACACACAAGGACAGATCTACCAAAGTAAAAAAAAAAAAACATGGAAAGACAGCAAAATCCGGGCACGGACAGAGACGGGACCAAACAGGAGACAAGACTACACTAAAACATGGAAATATAAGACTAAGGACTAGGACACAGACCATAATGATAAAACACAGAAGTACACAGATCAGGAAAACACTTAAACATGAACTAAAGCACAGGACTAAGAACTAAGGCAAATATATAGACAAATGAAACAATGGCAAAACCAGAAACACACCGTGAAAAATACAACACAAACATAACCCAAAACTAAGCTCATAACATTATTACAACAAGCTAGGTTCTGATGTGTAATAAAGAAGCAAATTATAATGATATACTTTTATTATTCACAATATGGAAAGAGGAAATAAAACATACTCAGACAGGCCATTAAAGGGCTCATTCAAGCCTCTTTTATTTCTTGAGTTATTTTCATCCACTACGCATTACCCACCCAAAGTAATGGGTTTTCCTCATCTATGAGTTTTGCCTGCTCCATCTTCCATTGGTAAAGCATGGTTGGCTGGAGGTAGGAACTTTGGTGGGGAAAGTGTGTCTTTGGACAAATAACAGAACAACAACAAATACGCATTAACTATACCAACGTGTCTATTCATTGCTGCATTTAATATTAAATATTAAACATCTGATGCACGTTCCTCGATGTCACCCTCCATTGAAATTAACTCTACTGATGTACAACATATTTGTTGTAAACTCACATTTCTTTTCCCAACTTACTAGGCCTTTCATGGAGATGTATTTCAACATTTATAGAGCAAATTATTGGGAAATGATCACTCCCAGTATTTGTACTTTCCTTTAGATTCCATTCACAAGAATTTGCTAGATTATTAGAAACTAAAGTAGGATCAATACAAGTTTTTTTTTAGAAAGTATGACAATTCTTGTGCCATTTCCATTATTTGAACAAACTAGTTGCCTAACAGTAGGTATCCTTATTTCCCCTAAGACTATTATGTGAATTGAAATCTGTGCACCATATTTCTTTCTTGTTTCATTGTCTCCTTATTATTTCCTGTAAGGTTTCTAGCCTTAATGATTTACAAGGGTTACATATGTTGATTACTAGTAAGTTCCCATCTAATTTATAAATTCCAGTAACCACACATTATATTCTGTTGCAGTTGCTATTCTTCTAAATGGCATCCCATCCTATACAAATGTTGCACATCCTTCACCCTTATTTTCACCTCTGTCAAACCTAGCAGACTGATAACCAGGTAATATGAAGACATGGTGAGGCCGTAGCCAAGTTTCTTGAATGCAAACAATATCAGGTTTAACTTCAGACTCTACTATAAACGTTTTAAATTCTTGTCCATGTACCATCAAACTCCTAGAATTCCATTGCAAAAGGTGGAATACAACTTTTCATATATAAGCTATAACCCCCTTCCTTTCTATAATCAAGTTCTCCTCAACTATACTTTACTGGTCTTCCAGGCCGATATATCCTTATGCCTAACCTCTGGGGTAGGCCTGTTCCATGCCTTGCACTATCACTCAAATTTTCCTGACACTCTATTGGTCAATTTTGCTTGGTTTCACAAGTGCCCATGTTTTTTAAAGCCTCTGCATATGTCAACTTATTCACAACCTTGTAGCTCTGTACTTCTTTAGCTTGGTTCTGGGCCACACATCCACCAAATGGAGCGCTGTGCTCATCTCCACAATTACAGCATTTTAACTTGGCATCCTTATTACAATTGCCAAGTTCATGTTCTCCCCAGCATTTCACAAATCTTTGACTCTATTTACATTGTTGTGCTGTATGTCCCATTCTCTGGCACTTAAAGCACGTTAAAATTTGTGGAATAAAATCCCTGACTTTGTCGTTTATCCAGCCTATTTTGACTTCAGAAGGCATTAACTTTTCATAAACAAGCAGTATCTGATTTAAGACCACTTTTATTAGTTTGTAGTCTTTTGGCCTCTAGTACTTTTTCACCTTGTATCTCATTCTTCACATCCTCCATAGACATTTCCAGAGGAACATTTGAAATCACTCCTCTTAATTTTGCTGCCATTCCTGGTACATGCACTTTAATCTTTTTACCACCAAGGTTACTTATTTTCAAAATAATTTCCTGCTGCTTCTTATGTACTTATTTCTGCTGAAATTAGAATTCTTCTGTTACTCAATAATTTTGCATTTTTAATTTTCCCCATTTCCTTCTAAATTGCTTTGGTCACCTGAACTGGATGAATGTGACCTTTATTATTACTGAGCGTAACAATAACTTTCCACTCCCTGCTTGTCATCATCAGGCCTACTGCGCCCACTAGGTTCAGTTCTTATCTTTTTAATGACTTGTCTTTTAGTACTCTTTCTTCCACTGCACGCTTCAGACCAGGATTTTTTTTTCTTGCCTTTTTAGTTTGGCTAACCTCCATATCTGAAGACCATCCATTACCGTCACCATCACTACTGTAGCTCATTGCTACACTCGCAATAACAGTTTGATTGCAATCCGCCTTCTCTCCGTCCAAACAATTCTCCTCTGATCTCCCGTCAACCTCGTCCAACCGGAAGCCCAGCCCGCCCCCCACAGAGGAGGCGGGAAGAGGAGGGGAGACACAAACAGACCAAGCAAAAATGCACCAAGCATCACTCACTCACCTAAAGCGCAAAAATAAATCAAAACACACTCACTCACAATTCTTTCATCAGATGTCAGACGCGGGAGTCATGATACTCACATAACATCAGAATTGTTACTTCTTCATATTCTGTTGATAATGTTAGTCAATTTTTGAAGTTTTAAACTCTTAAATCTCTTAGATTCTTACACATTGCAACTTAAAAAAAAAAAAAGAAATAGAAATGAAATGGAAATGGCAATTGGGAACTATAATCTAGCAGAAGTGGGATAACAAATGGAAATATGAAACCCTGGAAACACAAATGTATTATGGAAATGGTTCCATTATCGTTATTAGACTGTGTATATTCTATAAGAATGAATAGATTACCACAGTTCTTCTTGGTATTATGTCAGATGTTACCTATTTCTAGTTTCAAGTTCAAATTCATTTTTAAAATATGGGACAAACTTTTGAATTGTTTTATATAGAATGTAAGGAGGAAAAGGGTAAAAAAAAACTAAGGTCTTGAAGTTGGATGAATTAAAAAGTTTTCCCAATCTCCAAAAGTGTTATTATGCTTTCATAACTGGGGCAAGATGAAAATGTACAAGCTACTAAAACATGGGAAGAAGATCTAGGAATATGGTTAACTAATCAACAGTGGGGAGAAAGATACACACATATAACTACTGCATCCAGTTTCTGGAAAGATTATGGATGCTTCACCATCCATAATCCATTGAGCCACCATGCTTCACATATTCATATATTTTGGTTTTGCCCAATGTTAAAGACATTCTGTATTTTCCGTCATTTGAATGTGTTTAATTATGTCTCATCTATTTAATACTTAATATATTTAATTTTCATGTCAAAGTGAGTTGACTGTTTTTATCAATCCCATGCAAAATCATGTTGGTTTCTGAAAAACTGTGTGCCGTAGGCTGTGTCTGAAGAGACAGGTGATCGACTTGTTAGCAGAGGGTTACTCCTGTGAGCAACTGGACGCTCAGCCTGCCATCACAGTGGAAGACTGGTAAGAGAAAGGTGGACTGACATACACGTGCACACCTTCTATAACTCAGTAATGTCAATGATTGATGGGTGGCTCATCCTGCAGGTACTGTGGGAGGACGGATTGTGGCTGCTCCTATGAAATTACTGTGTGTCTGCTGGATGAGAATCACGAGGTCATACAAGACTTCAAACCTGAGCTGGTTAACCTTGACCCCGACTGTGACGACTGTTCGTGGAAACAGGTACACAGAGAGGGGAATGCTCGAGTACAGGGAAATGCATGACAGACAGAGTGACTCTACATCAAACAAATTAAGGTCACACAAACGATGTTGCATAGCAGCAAAAGTTGAGCCAGATTCAACTTTTTTACCGGTTGACACTACATTATTTTGCCAAACCTCGTGCTTCCCCGCTGCACCAGCCTACTGACTCCATTCAAGTGAATGAGAGGGCTGTGTTTTTTCACTTGCTTTACGCTTGAGGTAGCCATTATTCAATGTGTACAATTTGAAACTTTTATGGACTATGAAATGGCAAATAAAATGCACCTTCGACAAGAAAGCTGAAGACAGGGCTATGGCACCTCTGCCTGGTGCCAACAAGTAAACAAGTAATAGACAAAATAAAATAGGCCTAGACAAAAAATTTTAACTTAAAGGTTCTGTGCGTAAGATTTAGTGGCATCTAGTGGTGAGGGTTGCGAATTGCAAAAAAACTGTCCAGTCTACCACTGCCCCCTACCGTTTAAAGAGCGTCGGACAGCTACGGTGGCTGACACAGCACAAAAGGTGTCTCTTCTGAGAAAGCAGAGAGTGGCCTCAAGAAATGAGGTTTCTTTAGGTATATTTATTAAGAAATTATATTTACTTAATTATTCAGTAAAACCATATGTTATTGCGACTTGGCCACTGACAGACAACACAGAAAATGTAAGTCAAGAGCGTGAAACACTGTCACTGTTTCTGCACCACAGTCTGTTATAAACCATATAATAGATGTAGTTTATACAAACATTGACATGGGAAACCTGTTAATTTTAATTGTTAATTGAGAGCCTTTGCTTTGAATAATAACGACATTGAAAGAGTCTGTAGCCTGCTTGACACTCCTCTGAAAGAGCCATCAGAAAACGTGATTCCCCTAAATGTCCTCTGCCTGGAGATACTAGGGCAATTAAAAAGCGTCTGTTGGTTGATGGATGTAGATCAAACACCAAAACACAAACACTGCAGGACATGCTGTAATGTGAGAAAAAAAAAAGTTGCCCCGAGGTTGGATCGAACACACAAGTTCTGCACACCAACTAAGCTAACTGCACACCATAACATGATTCCTAATATTTTGTCCTATATTCTCACTTACCATCTAATGGTTGAAAAAATTGCTCCAATGCAAAACTTATTTGCCGACCCCTGCTGTATATTATTACTTGTATTTTGAACGTACGTATTCAATATAGTGAAAAGTGTCTGCACTGCCTGAATTCTACCAAAAGTAGAACACGAAGAACATAGTGACGAAACACGTGACGTAGCGCTGTTTTTATGTTTTCAGCTACTGTAGAAACATGACGGTGCAACATGACGAGGTCCTTGGAAGGGGGGCCTGCGGTTATGTAGATAGAAATGTCTCATTCTAAGGTAATAAAAACATAACGGTTCATTATGTAAGGTCTTTATACGCCACTGAATGGATCTTATATTTCATTTCTGTCAATAGATCCTCAAAAATATTACACACTGAACCTTAAACTAAAGAAAAGTAAATACTTAAGAGTAGTTAGACTTTATATTGTATAAAAACAAAAATCACATGTTGAATCCACCAGTACCAGGAGCACTAACACCTCCTCTGCTCTTGGGTAATTAATAATCAAAAACAGCCAACTGTTACAAACAAAATGGAAACTTGTCACATTTTTCATACCTCAAAATAAAGCTGCAAGCAGCATTAGACAGGCATCGCGGTGTGCCATGGCACAGTGAGATCGGAGATCAGCAGACATGGCAGTGAATTATCATGTGTTTTGGACAAAGGACTTAAACATCACTACCTGTGTCCCTTAGGTAGTGCTTAACAACATCTGCTAATTCTATATTGTGTACCAGTACATCAAATCTGGACCACACTGAAAATGTCATCGAACGATGATTGTAACACAGAGCTTACTTCCTGTTGCCAGTAGATGGTGCTATCACTATAACTGATATTTTGGCATGTAGGTTTATTCAGGGTGGGGCACTTATCAAACATGTAACATTTAGTACAGATATGAGCATGCACATTAAAGTTACAACAACTTCCTGTCTCATGGCGAATTATCAATTTTCGACACCACGCCCCAGACATGCCCTTTGAGGAAAACTCACAGATAGCACAACTTTTCATAATCTACTCCTTTATATTGCGCAGCAAAATTTTCTTAATTTGAATCCTATCTTGAATTTTCTGCAAAGTTTCATGAGTTTTCGAGCACATTTAGGTCACCAAAAATGCGTTTCATTTGCAGAAGAAGAAGATGAGATCTGCAAGCAGGTACAATCGGTGTCCAACCCCCCCAGCGCATGGCCATGCAAGTCAGACCTGCAGTTCCAGACCTGCAGTTCCATAGGCATGACACAAGTTGCATGCAGAGAGCAGCACAGATATTGGAAAATCTGTAATTCAATAAGACAAGTCTGGTACAATACTTTTAGCTCATTTTGTGATTCTGCAACAAAAGTGATACCTAGTGGCTGATTGTTGCCACATCTTCACACAGTTGTTGCACACAGCCTTGTGATAAAGTGCTGGCCCAAATTTTGTGTTAGACGGACAGACCTCTGTGGAGCTATCACTTCCTGTTTTGTAGCAACCACAGGAAGTTCCTATTTTATAAGTTGCATTTTTTTAGGAGTATCAAAATTCTTTTAATATGTTTTGATCATGAGGGTAGTTTGATTCTATTTGCAATCAACACTCAGGTAGGCATGTTTGTTACGTCAAATTCTGACCCTACCATCTGAATGTAGCAGCTGAAATCGAGACTCATTGGACCAGGCAATGTTTTTCTAATCTTCTATTGTCCAGTTTTGGTCAGCCTGTGTGAATCGTAGCCTCAGTTTCCTGTTCTTAGCTAACAGGAGTGGCCTTCTGCTGCTGTAGCCCATCGCTTTGAGGTTGTGTGTTGTGCGTTCAGAGATGGAATTCTGCATACCTTGGTTGTAACGACTGGTTAATTGAGTTACTGTTGCCTTTCTGTCATCGCAAACCACTTTTCCCATTCTCCTCTGACTTCTGACATCAACAAAGCATTTTTGTCCACACAACTGCCGCTCACTGGATATTTTCTCTTTTTTGGACCATTCTCTGTAAACCCTAGAGATGGTTGTGTGCGAAAATCCCAGTAGATCAGTTTCTGAAATACTCAGCCACATAAATCCCCTTTCTTCCCCATTCTGATGCTCGGTTTGAATTTCAGCAAATTGTCTTGACCACGTCTACATGCTTAAATGCATTGAGTTGCTGCCATGTGATTGGCTGATTAGCTGTTTGTTTTAACAAGCAATTGAACAAGTGTTTCTAATAAAGTGCACGATGAGTGTATGTCACAGTTAGGTCAATATCATAATAGATGGATCAGAGCAGAAGAAGGATGAATGTTCAACAAGTTCTGGAAATAACATGAGTGAGGGATAACGGTGGAGTGTGTAAGTCACTGTCTGTGTGTGCGTGTGTGTGAGAGAGAGATGCTGTTTTTTTTAATTCTCATTTTATGTGTAGGCTAACTGAAACGTCACATTATTATTGCTCCCACCAGCCACTTCGGCTGGTGGGAGCCAGGCTGCCACCACAACACCATCACAACCCATCCTTGTGCTTCAGTTCTGAAGTGAATCTCGTTTTGTTACGTTACTGGTCCTCTTTGTGAAATGCTTAGCAACGTAACAGTACAGACACAGTCTTCAACAGCCTGCTGCACCAGCTGTGTCAAACTTCAAACTAACTAGTTTTAATGTAAATTATAATTTCTAATTTGTGATTTGTGCATTACTAAAATGAAAATAGTTGAACCACAGAGAGCAGTTACAACTACATAAAAACTAAATCGTGGTAGTACATGGTAGGTGTAAATCTGTCACAGAATTATACTCAATAATGACTTTAGGATAGAACTTACACACAGCTGGGCAACAGGCTGCAGGAGTGCAGGAAATGATTAACAAACTGCTGATTGGCTTAAAAGGAGCTCTGTGCATCTGCACTCAAATGCTCTTCCTTAAGGACCCTGAAGTGTCTTTGATCTTGATACCGAATCTTGTGGATTAGAATTTAAATGAGAGAAGCAAATCTGAAGTGAGAGAACTGAAAGTGAAAGTACTTAAAGAGTTGAATTTTTAGTGAGACTCAAATACAGTTTCAGTTGCATAAAAGAGACTCAAATACAAATTCAGTTTCATTAAAATTACATTTAGTTTCAAGTTTATTGGCATTCAGTTATATTAAAAATAATAATTTCAATTTCATATTATGCCATTCAGATTCAGTTTTTCGCTAGTTATTCAAGTTAAATAATAAAAATTCTAATTCCATTAATATATCATAGTTCAGTTTATTAATACAATTATTCAAGTTTAGTAATTCATATTCAGATCTAAGTTATTCAAATTTAGCTTCTACTGACACAAATATCAGCCCATTGTGTTCTCTCTCTGTTTGAATTCCAGGTCAGCCATACATTTTTCGACTACGACAGCGGATTGCGTTTCATCTCCTTTGAACACGGAGGACAAGACACCAAGTTCTGGGACGGTTGGTTTGGAGTCCGGGTCACTGGGAGCTCTGTTACTGTCGAGGAATAGTGAAAGGAAAAGAGAAACAAGAAGTTAGCAATACTGAAAGAGAAGTAGGAAGGTGGAGACAGAGGTTTATAGAGGACCAGCTTAGCCCTGTGCACCCAGTTTACACCTCTGTATATCATGCATAAAGCTGTTCATGCTATGGAACCAGTGCTGCTAAGAAGACCATAGTTAGAAAGTTTTAAAAAACAAAAAAATCATGATTGTCAGCTTTATTAACCTTAAAATATTAAAATTACTACTTGCAACAGTCATTAATCATGATCTACTACCTCTGCACAGTGACTTACCCTGTTGTTAAGCTAAATTACGTGTTTTGTGCATGGGGGTGTTGTAAATGGTTATCATTCAACTGAAATATTGCCTCTTTCGATCTAGTGAGATCTAATAAACTGAATGTGATAATCCTTCCCCTATCCCAACATTGAATTGTAGAATTAAATGGTTTGTCCTCATTTCCAAGATACTGAATGTATGTGGAGACAGAGGTTGTGCAGACTGACCAAAGTGACATTTGGTCACAATGGGTCAGAGAGGAGAGTGACTGAATACTTTACTCAAGTACTGTACTTTTAGATACAATTTCAAGGTATACTCATGTACTTGAGTACATTCCCATCATACACTGCTTTTCACACTACCCCAATACATTGTAGTATGTGATCCAATCCATGATGGGTGATCCAGGCACAAGTGAACAGCTCAAAGTAAAGGTGTGTATGCACCCACGACGCATTGAAGATGCATTAAGATCCAATCGCTCAGACCATATTCACAGAGGGTCTGAGCCACATTATTTTAATAGTGAGTGTGCGAATATCTCCTGGGCTAGATTAAAAAAATAAAAATAAATAGCTACTCAACTGACATCTTCTGTGTAAGTGGAAATAAAGTTCAAACCAACAAGAAGTATCAACAACAACTGGCAAAATGGATTCTCCTGGATAAGGAGCTAATCTGATTACTGTTCAAAAACACAACTTTATAACTTTATTCACAGATTTTGGTGAGACTGGATCATATTTTATCGAGAGTTTTTTTAATTTGTTCCCTTCCTTGGTGAATTATGACATTTCCTGATGGACAGATAGCTTTAATTGTTGCTAAAGTAACCATTTGTCCTTCTCAATTACCATGAAGATTAATTACCACCACATCCAGAATTTTGTTTTTAATGTAGCATGTTTTTCTGTGGCCGTGGAAGGTAAGTAAAATGTGTGAAAATCCTTTCAATGCCAAATACTGACTTTGCTCAGTGGCTTTACTTAATTGATTGGTAATATGTCGGCTAACTGACTGTGGTATTTTAATGCACTAGTCAAGTTGACTGAAGATAAATGCATGGTGCAATGCACATTTTTCCAGGTCCTGCAGTCTTTTAATCCTTGATATACACTGAATAAAATTATAAATGCAACAGCTCTGTTTTTGCCCCCATTCATCGTGAGCTGAACTCAAACATCTAAGCCTTTCTCTATGTATACAAAAGGCCTATTTCCCTCAAATATTGTTCACAAATCTGTCAAAATCTGTGTTAGTGAGCACTTCTCCTTTGCCAAGATAATCCATCCACCTCACAGGTGTGGTATATCAAGATGCTGATCAGACAGCATGGGTATTGCACAGGTGTGCCTTAGACTGGCCACAATAAAAGGCCACTCGAAATGCACTTGCATTATTATTGTTCTTGGTGATGATGTCAGAAAGGGCCGCCTTGCATTTCTCAATTCTAAGTTATAAATGCGAAGTCTCTCTTTATAGATGTCATAATGAACCTCGAGATTTGTTTGAACCATGAAAGGGTGGGTGTGGAAGAGAAAGACTCAATAAATATTTCACTGGAGTTTTCAGTGATATGTTGTTTTGTGATTACCTCTGTTTGAACATTTGTGTGCACTGAGATAGCACTGTCAAAGAAAACACAGGAATGATGAGAGCGCAACATCTGTCACCACAACCTTGGAAATGTTCAGACCTTTGGAGATGACTACCATAATTATGTCACAAGCGGGGAGGTGACAATGGGTGTATTGTGTGTTTTTGAGTTTGTTTTGCCTTTTTGAGCGAGTGAGAGGTGGGTTTTTCGCTCGTCCCTTCCTCCATTTTATAGGAGACACCAGCCACTCCGACCCGCACCTGAGGAGATACTCCCCCAGCCTCGAACTCTGCTTCGCGTTATCTCCGTGTTTAATAAACTGTGCTAAACCTTCCTGAACTGTCTATTTGTCTGCATATGGGTTCAAAGCCAAATTCCTGACAAATTATCAAGAACACAACAGTTCTTTAGTCCCTCTGTCCTGGGGGTTGTCAACATAAATGTTAAAATCACCAACAATTACTACACAGACAAAGTCTGTGACAAATGAAAGTAAGATTGTGTATGATTATAAAATCATTTATTAAAAATGTTTTATAAAGCTACATTTAGTGTGTTAAAAACATTATCTTCCCCACTTTTAGCCACAGTCTGTGGCTGATGAGGAATTAATGCTAAACTTGCTAAATTGGCAGAATATATTGAGTGCTTCCTGTTTCTTAAGACATTCAATATTCTTTTTCTATTACTTATCAAGACAAGAATTGAGAAAGCTACCAGCACACTGTGCCTTGGCTTGTCCTGAGAAGAGTCATGAGTGCCATTTTCCTTGTAGTGGACCCCGCACGTCAGATTGAGCTTGCTGTATTTTGTGCTGTGCTTTTGCTGTGTTCCATTTACCTCGGAAGTCAGAGGTCGGAGCTGGGAATGACGTCACACCAGAGTTGACAGCTCTCCAGTTACCAGTCGGAAAACCTGGCTTGGTCAACTAGCCAGGTCAAAAAACGCATTGTGCAGTATTTACTGATACTAAACACTGTAGCAACACATCCACAGACAACGGCTGGACAGCACTTTGTGTACGGACATTTCTATGAGTCACAAGTACACAGAAGTGCTAATAAACAGTGTGTACTACAGCTTTCACTAACTGTTGATACCCTGACAGCCATCTTGGATCACAAAGTTGAGGTAGTGCGGTTGTCCCGACTTTCCGAGTCGGAAATCCGACTTCAGGGGTCATTCCAGCTGAAAGTTCCGACTGGCAACTTGGAAATTCCGACTTCCCATGTCAAATGGAACGCAACATTTTATAAGGCTGGGGAGACAAAGGGTGATTCTGACGCCATTGTGGAGTGGGGGGTATGACATGTGTCAAACCTGACTGAGGACTTAAAACCAGTGGTGGAAGTGGATGTTGAAGGGGGTTTAGGGGAGAGAAAATAGGAGTGGGGGTGAGTTTGGTCTCAGCACTAACCAGCTCTTTCATGTGGTCAGTGAACTCCAAGAGGGGAGAGGAAGGAGAAAGGGTGTAAGGAGATAAGGGTGAACTGGATGGGGTTTGGGGGAGTGAAGAAGGTGAATCCTCAGATGTGGTTGATAGTGAGGGGGTTGGAGAATCTCCTTTTTGGCTCTGATGTTTCCCATGATCAAAGCTCTCTTCTGGCGAAGCTGAGTTGGCTCTCCTTCAAGGTTTCTGGCATATTGTGTTATGTCTTCTTCTTCTTGTTTTGATTCCTCTTGTCTTATGTCCTTGGCAGAGGGAATAGATGAGAAAGAGGAGTTTACTCTCAATACGTTTTGTCGGGACTAAACTCAGCCCAGTTTTAGTGATGGTAAAAGTGACTCTTTTCAGAGTCGAATCTTCAAATTTTGTTCATTAAAATGAACTAATCCTTTTTTGAGTCATTTTGTTCATTTGACCTAGGTTGGTTATTGCGGCACTGCAGCCCTCTAGTGGGCGATGTAAAAAACAGCGCAGTTCTGAAACACGGAAGGCTACCTGGTTTGTTTAATTGACAAAGTATACACAAATTCACCTTTTGATCTTACTCCAAATTCAAACCATGAAAAAACCACAGAAATATGTTGTCAATATGCAATCGCCACTACTCCAGCTAAATCCGTCCATTTTCACAGTCTTTTCTGAGTATACAACCATACCAGCCATATATAGGCTATGTATATATAATTATAATTACTATCATTATATCTCTAAAGTGCTCATTCATACAGTAGCCTAACGTCCCTATCCATGAGTAAAATCTATATATTAACATCTAATTTGCTGGGAATATATTGAAGTAATAAGCTTGACATTTAATAATAATCTGGATAAAGCCACCAAATTCTTAAAAGAACTCCAGTACAGAGAGAGGAACAAAGAAATAAACACATTGTATAAATGCAGCAGTTTGGCAGGTCTGGACACAGAATGGGCGGGGTGGTATGTGTCATACTCAAGCTCGGGTTCTCTACCAGATGCCTGGGAGTTTGAGGGTTCTGCGTAGTATCTTAGCTGTTCCTAGGACTGCACTCTTCTGATGTTTTACCTGGAATCTGCTGTAGCCACTCTCCCAGTTTTGGGGGTCACATCTTTTCGAGCTCCTCTTTCGGCCCTTGGTATTTCTCAAGCTTCTTGTGTTCCTTCTTCTTGATGTTGCTGTCGCTTGGGATTGCCACATCTATCACTGCAGCCTTCTTCTGCTGTTTGTCGATCAACACGATGTCTGGTTGGTTAGCCATCACCAGTTTGTCAGTCTGGATCTTGATGTCCCACAGGATCTTGTGTGGGTCTGGGGGTCTTCCCCCAGAGAAGTATAAGCATTAAAGAACTCATTTCCTGCATTCTGGTGAAAATTTCTGCACCAATTTAGAATATAATGCAGTCAGGCTTTCGGGCATTCTGTAGCTATTGCTTTTAAATATGTTTTCTCCTGTTGATCAACTTTTCTAATTTAATAAAATCCCTGCTGAGTCAACCCACATGATTTAGTGTTCCCTCCTCTTTGAGTCTCTGATTGGTCTAATATCTGTGTTCTCTAACATGTAGAGAGAAAAGTCGCAATACTATGAGACTAACATCATAATTTAATGAGAATTTACAATATTTTTAAGTCTACCTGGTCTATACTCTGCTGTGCATTACGTTATTGCTCTGCTGGTAATATTCCCCATAGACCGTTTGAACAACACAGTTTAGGACTGCATGCTGCATGTGAAACCGAAACTAACTGAAACGCTTGTGTCAAGGCAGATATCTCACCACAAATCCACACACGTTAACTTCAGCAGCTCCGATAAAGTGCAGCTCACAGTACAAAACAGAGCAATGACATTTTGCGTTACAGGCAACCGTCTATGTCCCCTATGCAACGGGCCCGCCCTGGGACAGTACATATCCTTGGGAGCCATGTTTTCAGTGCCAACAACTGGCTCAATCTCTCAACTGTTCTTTGAATTGGTGGTAGAGGGCAACTGATAAACACCTCAGCATTCAGAGAGCTGACTGTTCAACAGCTTAATGAAGTCCTTTTTCAACAGTTCAGACTGTTGCAGTATCCACGATATGCAGGATTCTTTCTGCCAAGTCAGAAACCATACCCCTCGAAAAAGAGT